GGGGTAAAGGATTAAAACTTGAAGAGGGAAGGTTTAGATCAGACATTAGGAGGAAGTTCTTCACTTTGAGGGTGGTAAGACACTGAAACAGGTTGCCAAGGGAACCTCCATGGAAGCTCCATGCCTGGAAGTGTTCAAGGTCAGGTTAGCGGGGGGTTCTGAGCAACCTGGTCTAATGAGAGGTACCCCTGCCAATGCAAAGGGCTTAGATTTAGGTGATCTTTAAGGCACCTTCCAATCCAAACCATTCTATGATGATTCTATATTGGTTGCCCTAAGACACTTCTGCTCAGTTCTGTCCTAGCCCTTAGTAGAGCAATGGGCTCTACGGTCCTCACTCACTCATGTGCAACACTGAGTTTTCTCTCCTCTGATCTTTGATACACAAAGTATGCATTTAATGGTCAATTGACCATTATTTTTTTGTTTGTGGCTCAGAAAGGTTCATATATTCATTGGAAATGCTCTTATCAAAATTATCATGGGAATCAGTAATTATTAACTGAGACAACACAGTGTATTGCTGTGAAATGATGCAGGATGCTCAATGAAAAAAACAACAGGGGATGTAATTTGGTGAGAAAGGCACAATACATCTCATCTCAGAACTCTGCAAAGCAGTAACCTTTATACTGATGGTGCTTTGGCCATAAAAGTGAGCAAGCTGCAACACATTAACAGTTGAGACCATTAGTAATGGGTGGTAGAAAGCGGAGCTCTTTTCACTAGCATAGTGCACCCTAAGTATTGCTGGGGAAGTGAGCTAGTGCCTTGGAAAGTGCTCAGCTTTTAAGTCAGGTCTGAGAGAGGAGAGGAAAGATGACCTCTGATTCCTCTGTATTATGGAGAAATGTGAACTTTTTGCAGCTACAGGCTCCACAGAAGTCCTGTTTTTAGTCAGTACTAGAATTCACTTTACATTTGAATGTCATGTCCAAAGTAGGAAAAGAGATTACTTTTTGCATTTCTTATAATGAAATGATTAAATGAAATCTTGCTGATACTAGCCAAAAGGAAGCCTGATTACATAAATATTCTCCTGCCCACATAAGGGTTGGTTTTGTTTTCTTCTTTGGGAATAATAAATGTTTCAAAGATAGGCTATAAAAATATCATGGAGAAAAAAACAGCAGCAGATGATTTAATGTGAGTGAAATAATTGCCATGAATATGCTATAAAGCTATCTTAATATAACAGTCAATTTTGCAGTTAAGCATTTCCCTCACAAATAGGGATCAAATTGCATCAGCTTAGATACTAAAATTATAGATTGCAACAAAAAAAAAGTCATTTCTACAAAGAATTTTTGAAGTTTATCTTTCTCTTTGAAAGTGTGTTTCAGAAAAAAGATCTATTTCTGATGGTGCTAATTTTCATTGTGTTTGGACAGATTTTTGTGGTACATTGTGAAGGCTGCCTAAATGAGTAGTTAATTCTTCTCCTTTCTTCGTTTCTAGGAAGGGGAGTCAGATGTGCTGCCTCTGATTGCCTCTTGTTTGTGTCTGCACAAGATTCACCAAGTTTCTCCTCTATAACAGTCCAACTCAATAAATTATTTGTTCTCTTAACTACTGGCTTCTTGAGCTTTAGCTGCCTGAGTTGTCAGAAAAAGTTGTGTTTCTCTCTTCTTTTCCATTTTCTTTTGTTCTTCCATCTAAGCCAGTAGGGATCAGTATAGCTCGTTTCTTGCACTGTTGCCAATGCTAGGGCAGCTGTCAAATGCTCTGTTAGTGCAAATAGTGCTGCTTGATACACCACCAGCTTACAATTAGTAAGCAAGACTAAGTGGATAATATCATAGGAAGACATTGCTTTTTTAATGTCTCCTTTTAAAGAACTGCACTGAAAGAATAGATTTGTTTACAAGTGTTGTAATTCATGTTAAACAAAGAACAGAAAATGCACACTCTAAAATTAACAGTTGTATTGTCTTTTTTTTTGTCAACCAGAACAGTATTTCTTAATCAATCAGAAAACAATTTAGTACATTCAAGTCCTGAAATTATTTGTCAGTGTGCCTTTTCCTGTTGCAGATTTGAGCAGTGACTGAGAACCAGTTGGCCTGTAGAATATTTAGCCGTGGCTCATGGCTTTGGGCAACACAACTTCTGTTCTGTTAGAGAGAGGAGGCAGCCTGGTACCACAACACTTTTCAAGACTTTATTTTAATCTTTTACGCACAACCACAGTCTGAAGTTCTAAACATCTGTAACATGTTCAAAAAGAATTTCAGCATTGCATTTTCTGTGAAAATTTCTGGCTTTTCATATGACAGACCAGACCTTGGGCAGGCAACTAGAATCCCCTTCAGATGATAACACAGAAGATATGCTTCAAGGTGTACTTAATGCATTTCTGTTGTTATTAGCAATTTACTACTTGGGACAAGGTTAAAAGAATCCAAAGTAACGTTTCTTAAAATAAATACATATATATATATATATATTTTTTAACCATTAGAATTCTCAGCACCAACTTTTTCCCTCTTGATATCCATTGCCATTGTGCCCCATGTGTTACTTCAACTGCCCACGTCAGGTTGTCCTAGAAAATATTGTCATAATCTATATATATATAGCCCTGCACACATCTTACACTGGTTGACCCTATAATTAAAACACTAGTGATTGTAAGTTCTGTTTATAATTTATCATGTGACTTATACATACTCATTTAATATCTGTTAAAACTTCCTGATTCCCAGATGAGAAATAGAAAATAATTTTGGAGTGAAGCTTCATGTAGAAGCTTCCCTGGGCTATGCAAGGAGAAGGCTGTGTTCTTGTGATACTCACCTCATTCTATTTTTTACTTCCTGTCATTTAATATAGCTGTTTCTAAGAAAAGCAATGGATCTGCCATCTAGCTTGTGACTTAATCTTCTTCACTTAGATTATTTTTTTTATTACATTAAATGCATGCAGAAGCAAAAGCTGGTTAAAGTGACAACTCAGAAGTAATTTGTCATTACAGTTATCCTGACGTTTGGATGAATTGTTGCAAGTAATGTAGAAGGAGGGGGAACACTGTATATCACAAAGCACTATTGATATAAAACCAGCATGAAGACAGAGCAAAGCAGCCAGAGAGGTATCTTAACTTTTAGCATAAATAGTCTTGGTTTCAGTGGCCCATGATAATGAGGGGAACTGGCAAAGAAATTTGAGATGCTGAAACCTGTAGATAGAAGGCACAGTAATCACCATGCTGCTGCACAGAAGTGATGGTTAATAATTCAGATATTACCAACTGATCTGAAAACACTTCCAAGGGACATAACAGTAAGGACTGCATGTTATAGAGGAAGAGGCTAAAGCACAGAGTTTAAACAGCTTGCTAGCAGCTCAATGGTAAACTTTGTTCTCTTGAGTCCTATCCATTGTCTGTTCATTATACTACTGATATTGCCATGTCTCTTCTGGAGTTCTCCAAAGGCTTACCACAGTGTAGGAATCCATAGCAAAGTTATTAGATATAAGTCTGGTAATAAAGAACCTTTTTGAGGAGTGCATTTCACACAGTTCTTTTCATAACCACTTCCAACAATGGTAAGGGACCTGGGGACTAAAAATATTTTTTCATTCTTCCCACACAAAGCTGGAACTCCTTCAAAAGTTGTCAATCTGAGTTTGGATGGAGGGGAAGTACCAGAAATTAAAAAATATGGTAGATACATGACATTTCTCTGCAGATGGTTATTAGCTTGCTAGCAATTTCATGAGACTAGTTCAACTTGTGGATTCTATGGCCATGGATTCGTTTTGTGGGGCCACATACAGCAGTCCTGCAGGGGCAATAGATGGAAGTAGCACTGTCAGCTTTCGGCTGCAACTGGAAAATTGACATTCTGTTCTGAAAGCATCTTTTCATAGAGATCATAGCTTTTTCTGGGAGAATTATGAATGGATCACTGTACAAATGCTGTACAGATTCAGCCTGTAAATTATCCAGCAAATGGGGTGGGGAGTAAGACCTTCCATGTTGTGCTCTCCTGTTGCTAAGCTTTGGTTATGATGCCTCTGCTATACCTTTATCTGCAGAGCAAAATGAGTTTTTCCAGATCTACTTATAATGGGAGGTGACATTATTTTGCACATATGCCACCACTTAAACTGATTTTCTTCATGTTCATTAATGTGAGTTATCTTTGTTGGATCAATATAATGACGATGTGGAATAAAGGCCTTTCTCTGCAGCCTCTAGATGTATAAATATACAAATCCTTATCACTGATCAGAAAAGATGTGGTGCAAGTAGAGCATTAGATCTTGTATCAGATTCAAGTGAGAGCCTGCTGATACATAGAGCTCTTAGATGTAAAAGATTCACAGCAGAGGCAACCATCTCAGTTTTAGGGTGTGCTTTGTTGAAATGCTTAGCTACAGTGTGTTTAATTTAGAAAGACATTAGGTAAGAAACTACTCTACAATTAGGTATAAAGGTAACCTATTAAAATAAGGTACACCATGGGAGGACTGTCTGTTATCAAAGGCTTGGATGATATGTTTTAGGTAGAAGCATTAGTATTCAGGCACTTGGTTTATATTTTTCCTGTTTTTACAGTGCTATCCCCTTGAAACTCATTAAACCTTTTCCTGCAGTAGGCTAGCCACCGAAGCATCAATAATCTAAGGGGTAAAAGGAATATTGTTATAAATACACAAGTGTCCATTACAAGAAGTAGTAAATTTGAAGATGATTAAAATAAACAACAAAGCACAAATACTCTCTCAAGCACATGCACTTATAACATAACCAGAATGTGTTTTTCTTGTAAAGGATTCATTAGAACGTAAGTCTTAGAATTGAGTGAAATAAATAACTCAGCCTGATTAATGAGCTGCCATAAATCATCTCTAGAATGCAGGTTAAAGAAAAAAAAAAAAATAGAAGAGGATTTATTTGTTATTCCTTTGTGTTTTATTTAATCATGAGACCCATGCAAAACAGATGTAAAAATGCTGTACTGTTTAACAAGGACAAGTGCAAGGCCCTGCACATGGGTCAAGGCAGTCTGAAGCACAAATACAGGCTGGGTGGAGAATGGATTGAGAGCAGCCCCGAAGAGAAGTACTTGGGGGTGCTGGTTGATGAAAAGCTCAATGTGAGCCAGAAATGTGTGCTTGCAGGCCAGAAAGCTGACTGTGTCTTGGGCTGCTTCAAAAGCAGCACGGCCAGCAGGTTGAGGGAAGTGCTTCTTCCCCTCTACTCTGCACTTGTGAGACCCCACCTGGAGTATTGTGTCCATTTCTGGAGACCCCAACTAAAAAAGGACATGGAGCTCTTGGAGCAAGTCCAGAGGAGGGGTGCAAAGATGATCAGAGGGCTGGAGCACCTCTGCTATGGAGACAGGCTGAGAGAGTTGGGTTTGTTCAGCCTGGAGAAGAGAAGGCTCAAGGGAGATCTTGTAGTGGCCTTCCAGTTCCTGAAGGAGCCTACAGGCAGGGTTAGAACTAGATGATCTTTGAGGTCACTTCCAGCCCATACCATTCTATGATGATTCTATGATGATGACAAATGAGGACACATTCTAATATGACTGTGTTGTACACCTTTTTATTTCCAAGGCTGTTGAGAGTTCCAATTCGATAGACTATCTAAACATACGTCTCTCTGTTTGAAAGTTCTCAGGTTCAACTGACTGAAATGCAACCACATAAACCTATATGGGTTTACAAAATTTTCAAAAAGGTTTGAGATGTCTAAATCAATGTTTAGGTAGATGAGGCAATTAAGTCCAAACCTGCAGTCTGAACTTCCTCTGTTTAAAGGCTGGGGAAATACTGCAGGTGATGTAATTTGCAAAGTGAACTAAGTAGCTCCAGCACTATTGCTCACATGCGTGAGTGTGTTTTTTTTGTGGGCAAGGCAGTAGGTGAGGAATGGCTTTGTGCCATTTTGCCCAATTACTTATTTGGATGCATAACTAAATGCTTTAATAGACAAAAGCCTTCCTGTTTGGTGTTGACTAAGGAGTAGTGCCTGGTTGTAAATTGGGAAAAACTAATTACGGCCAATGGAGCAATATTCATATAACACTGGAGAATTTAAAGTTTATCTTTACCCTAGTGTAAACGTGGTTTTAATGCATGCTAACTCACTGGGCTACTGAGAAAATAAATTCACTACTCTTCATAGGACGGCTATGCTCCTCTAATGAAGGCATTCGTAATGCAAAGCTGTCATCCAAGAGAATCTTGACATATACAGTTCAGCTGGCAGTATTTTGACATGTCAAATAGGCAGTTAATTTTGCATTGATGAAAAGTGTTCAGAGGCATATTCAAGCCTTTGTATTTTTCTCTGCACTGCAATCATGACCATTTGCAATATTTCAAAAGACAGAGCTCCAGAAGTGAGATCACAGAAACAAAAAAAGAAGAAAACAATTTGGACTTAACCATGAAATGCTCTAAAGAGTACTACTATATATACTAGTTCAGTGAAAATGAAGTGGGTTTTATGCCTAATGATATAGAAGTACAGAAATAAACAAAAATCTGATTGCTACTCTCTGTGAGGACATCTTCTAATGGAGTAATTCTCTCTTTGGCTAAGATGCAAAAAAGTTATTAAGAAAACTAATGCTTGTGGTTTTGTCATTTGTTGTTATTCTATATATTCCAGTGCCTTTTTTTCCTCATTAAAATGTTTTTGCAAAATATTCAAAGATCCAGAGGTAACCTTGCAAAAATTCTAAAAGCCTTGAAAATGCATATAAAGAGGACTTTTTTTCTGAACTGTCATCATTGAAATTAGAACTGAATTTTCAAGTGCCTTTATACGGAAGAGTAAGGCTGAGGATAATAATTGTTTTTCAGCTGTTTAGTCTACAGGCAAGACTGTTGCTTGAATTGGTATTACAGGTATTGCAACATAAATCAGAGAGGATGATTCTTACCCTATCACATCCTTGATCTTGTGGCTAGAAATACATCTATTGGTTGTGAGGCTGTGATTTTGTTCTTATGTTTGAATGTGCCAGGAAAACAAGATCGTTACTGCCACAAATTACCAGGAAGTTTCTGTAGAAGTATTTGTTTTGCTTATTAACTTTATTTAAAATGAATGTAGTTATTTAAATTCACCCATATATTCTACTATCCTTTGAGTTTAGTGAGGCTGTTTCACTACCAAACTGTAAAGAAATGTCTGAGATTGGAATGTTTTTCCATACTCAAGGATTCTTGGATCTGAAGAGTTTTAAGACTAGCAAAACCCCATAACAAGCTAGATAGTTATGGTATAGAAAACCAGCCTATAGTTGTCCTAAAAAAGTTAACCTGTGTTTGTGCATGTTATTAGCTTTGGAAGGAGAGGTGATTTGGTAATCATAATTTTTCCTGGTGTTCAAAACTCCTGATTGCCAGAAATAGAAATAGATCAAATTACACTTGGCAAGTATCTACAATAGTTTCACATTCTTTATAACAAGTTATTTCTTACAATTTAAAAAGTAGTTCCATTTGGTCAGAGATTGTGTGGTTCACAGGTTCCAAGTTGTTTGTATTAGTATTAATAGTGAACTTTGTGATATTTGGTTATGGTGCAGTTAGGAAGCATAAATAGCAAGCTTTTCTATTTTACTGATGATGTTTTATCTACTATCACATCTATTTTAGTGCCAGAATGAGAAGAGACAGGTTTTTAGCTTTAATTATCCAGATTTACCTATACTTAAAGCGGAAGAAAATAAGACATCTAGTAGCAAAACATGAATGGTGTAAAAAGAAAGCAAATGTTGTTATTGAGAAAACAGAATGTTGTGAATTCATTTTTCATTAAATATGTTATCTGTCAAGAAAAGAGGTCAGCTTTTTGGGAATTGAATTTTACAGAAGATGCCATCTGGCTTTTCCAGTTGTTAGAAGGAAGGATGCTTTTTTGTTTGTTCTGTATGCAATATCATAGTGTTCTCCTGAGGGAGAGCCATCCTTCAGGGTGGCTCTTTACAAGAAAAGAGACTGTTTAAAATATCAAAGAATTAACTGCATATAAAAAGGATTTTCAGCTGTTAATGAGTCCATGTAAAGTTTTTATGCGAGATGAAAAATGAATCTATTTTAAAAGTAAGAACTCAGCTTTTAGTCAAGAATTTTTTTTCATATTCACCATGAGATGTAAGGCCTGGACACTGATTTTACTGGCCTAATATTCCCAGAGGCCAAGAAGTCAAACCTTTGACTCTGGTTTCTAGAGACAATTAAACATGAAAAAACAATTTAAATGGGCTGTTTGGGGTTTGACAGCTAATAAAGCAATCTGTTCAGGTATTGCTCACAAGACTTGGCTCTAAAAATCAAACAAATTCTCAACTTGCTGTTGAATGTTTAAGTTGCCTTCTGTAAGGCACACCTAAACATTTCATACAAATATTCATTAATTCAGTCTTGTCAAAGGCTGTGACAACTACATGGCTTAGCTCTAGACCTTCAAAATTAATGAGACATTCAGCTTCTGCTTTTAAATTACACAATGAAATATAATTTGTTATATAATTCCAAATGCATACACTGGATAGCTGAGCAAGAACCAGCTGAGTGTCCTTTAGATTTATACATGATCAATCTACTCCAATGAGCAGAAATATTGAGTATAACCCCCTAAAGCTATTACTAAAAAATAAATCCTGAAAAACCAATATTGTGCATGTCTAAAACATGTAACTAGAAGTAATTCACTGCTTTCCATTAACAGGAGTGAGCAAATATTTGAACATGCAGTGTACATGTTGAAATTTGTGCCTTTGACCTTGAAAAAGCAGAACTATGTACTTTGAGTAAACTTCAGGGCGCTTGGAGAAGGAAAAATAGGACATCAGCGATAAGGCAAATGGCCATGTTTCAACTTGGGATATCTGCCTTGTTGAATTCCACTTCTGTGATACTGATTTGACAGATAAATTGGTTTTCCTGCCTTTTTCCAGTTCCAGTGAGTTTACTTAAATAGGTTATCTAATGGCAGAAGATTCTTCACTGCCTTTGAGGGTGGGTATCTAGCCTCTGCTCAGTTATAATCAGTGACTTTTGACCTCTAGATTCAGTGAGTCTAGAATTTTACCTTGCAATCAAAAATCCCCATAGCCATAAAAATTAATTCTGGAATTGTATTTCTGAGGATCCAAATGGAAATCTCATGCAGTCTAGTTCAGTACCTTAAGAGAGTATAGCCATGAGAAAATACAGACTTGAATGTACAACTGAATCTATTTGGATGTGTGGTTTTGCTGCTGGCTTACCAGTGAGAGTTTTTCTGCTCCATATAGTGATTCTTAGACCTGAATTCATGCCTATTTCTCTTATTTAGATTTTTTCAGAATCCTGTGATATGCTAATTTGCAAGAGGAGCTATAGAAAAAGCTATTTCCAGATATTATTACTGATGTTATTTGGGGCAAACTGAGTGACAGCTACTATTTCTTCCCTAAGCTGCTGTGAAATTTCATCCATTCTTCACCAGTCTGAGCTGCTCAAAACTGGGATCATTCAAGAAATTCACAGAATTATTTGTTATATGTGTCTGGATGAATTTGCATTCTTAAAAATACAGCACACATTAGTACATGACAGTCATAATGAAATATGTTATTGACTTTGCACTTAGTCAATTTAGATGTTAATTTCTGGTTTGCTCACATGGTAATTCTGCAGATGAACTAAATTAGCACATTGCCATGGTGTTTGAACACTAGCTTCTCCGGACATGTGGTGAATATAGTTATGTAGTACAGAGGATCATGAAATATGTTACAAGGACAAAATCCAGCAACTGTTGAGAATGGGATTGCAAGAATGAAACTTTTGGAGATAACCAGAAATGGAGCAGACTAAGCCAAAATCAGTTATAAAAACCAGGCCTTTCAGTATGTCTTACTATGCTGAGCTGTGATTTGCCATGGACCGGGTTCCCAGACAAGTTTGCTGCCCTTGCAATATGACCAATAGCTTCTTGCAGAGGGATGTGACAGGCAGTAAGATAAATATTAAATCTGTGACAACTATCTCCATGCTTCCAGGAGCATCCTTGAAGTCTTTAACCCAGCCAATAATGAAAGTTCTGCACTCCTCGTGTACCCGGAGATCTTGTATGAAACACAGAGCTCTGAGTGAGAAAGCAGCTCAGTATCAGATTTCAGGCATTGTATTGAAAATCTAAAGCATTTATCTTTTTTCCTTTTCCTT